TAATCCTACTATAACGGCGCAGAGGACAATTTCCTCTCCCGGAAAATACATGTATCCCTTCATTATTTTTGTCCGCACCTCTTTAATATTAACTGCCGGGAGCGGGTCTGGTTCCAAAAACGTTGTAGTGTGCATTGTCCAAGAAGAATTGAGAATTTTGTCATCATTGACGAATTTCGGTGCGTTGGGGAAGTCTCTTATTGAATCCAGCTCCACATTGAGCCGCGTCGTCCAAACCGCTGGCAACACAAATTCGACCCCATGTTCCGTGCTGGCGGAACGCGGCATTGTCACTCTTTTGTTAGCTGCTATGTTGTTGTCAATTGACAACGTGCAGTTGCCGGGGACCGTAAACCGAAAAGAACCAAAACCCAGAGAATTTTGCCTTGTTACAAATTTTCCACATCGAACTGAAATAGCATGGCTGCCTGCTGACGGAGTTGATTTCGAAGGTGTCCTGACATGAAAGTAGGTGACCCCTTATATTTTTGAAAAGAGTATAGTGTGAGGATTGTTAATCTGTAAAAATATTATTGTGCCGGGGCTTCGTATTGGAGTAGGGAGAGTTGGAACGAGGGAGTCGAGTAGGGAGCTTTGGTAAGCCGTTTTAAAGTATTAAATTCTCATGAATGAAGACACCCTGGGCCCCATCATAATGCGATCCAATTTTTCTCTCGAATTTCAGCTTTCCGTAGGTGTTTTTGAATTTGTGGTGCGATGCCTGGTTCTCGAGAAAAGGCGATCAATTTGCCCCGTTGTCACCAGTCACTCGGCTCCCTCCGCTCGTGCTGACTCGGGCCGGCTCGGCTCCACGCTCGGCTCGGATCGGGCCTCGGTCTCGGTCAGGTTGGGTTTACAGTTAAACCTCCATAGATAGGACCGGAACCTGCCCCGAAAAATGAAAACGTTTACGCGACTCTCCTCTAAGCCGGCTTGATTGACAGGTCGTACTCCGAGTGGAGCACGGGCTCGAGCACTACCTGGCCCGGCCCCCGCCCGACGGGCATCCCCGGCCGCCCGACCAGCAGCGGTGCGCAGTGTCGGAAGTTGGGCTGGCGGAGTTGGGCCAGGCAGCGATTGGGCAGGCGCGGCTCACCTCTCGGGCGAGGCGGCACACAATAGACTTTCTGGCCGGGCGAGGCTCCGAGCTCTCGTCAACCAACATCTAGCAAACGTTTTGACAACCTCCATATTTGCCAGACCTCGGTCCCGATTGATAGGCATCTACGGAGGTTTTACTGTACCATGGTCGTCAGTCGGTCGGGTCGAGTCCGAGTCACCGTGTCGCCGAATCGGAGGTCGAGGTGGCAGTGAGAAGCACTGTTTGTTGTTGTCTGGGTCCTGTGTCGTCTTCATCACTTAATAATTAGTCAGTTTTCCACGAGTGTATCATGTCACGCCCATCCATCTCAAAACTGCTGAGGTATTATTGTTTGTTGGATGCTGAGCTCAATAGCCATGGGTGTCTTTCCACCGACTCGGAGCAAAGTAAGTTCACATCACGTACCTAAACATAACCTCAACGCTGGCTCAAACGGCGCTTGTAACACAAGTTTTTTCTTTATTTTTATTAGGTACCATCAAGAGCATTATCGCTTACAACCACCACAAGCGATTCACGGCAAACGCCAGACAACGCGCGCGGTTAGCTTGGACAAGGAGATCAAAGAGGTGGCATGTGAGGCCTATATTCCAAAACCAGGAGCTGTATGGGGCCTGGTTCACTCTGGTCCCTATAATGAGGGAGTACGACCAAGATGAATTTTATAAATTCTTCCGCATGACTACTGACTGCTTCGACTGGCTTCTTGAGAAGGTGGGCCCTTTCATGAGGAAAAGATCCAACCGTAAAAGTGTCTCAGCAGGGGAGCGTCTGGCCATCACACTGAGGTAAGATGTCCTTAACTTTCCCCTGTCATATGCTGTTCATATCCTCTTCTCTGGTACTCATATTATTATGCCTTTTCTCTCCATCAGGTATTTGGCGTCTGGAGACAGTGTGTCCTCTTTATCGTACCTATTCCGCCTCTCCAGTGAAGCCATCTCCAAAATTGTGACAGAGACCAGAGCCGTCATATGGTATACTTTGAAGGCACTAGTATTTGAAGAAATCTCTGAACACTTTTGGAGGCAAAAGGCTGTTGAATTTGAAGCAATGTGGCAGTTTCTGATGTGTGTTGGTGCTATTGACGGAAAGAACTGCTCATTCCAGGTAAATGCTAGCATATTTATTTCTGATTGCCCCACGCAGGAAAACTCTATTGAGTACTGCATGTTGTTACATTACCACATTATTTTAAATGCTCCTATTTGCCTTACAGAAATTTCCCATGCTTGGCTCTGAATACTATAATTACAAAGGGACAAACAGCATCGTTCTCTTTGCTATTGCTGACGCAAAGTACAAGTTCATTGTTGCTGATGCTGGTGCCAAAGGCCGTGAGGGGGATAGTGGAGTATTCGACAGGTCAACATTTGGAGAAATGTTCTACAACCATAGACTACGCCTGCCACCACTTGTGTACAATAAGAAGATGGACTGTCTGCTACCATATGTGTTTTTGGGAGATGGTGCGTTTCCACTTGATGAACACCTTATGAAGCCATTTGAACCAGATGCTAGAGACGAGCTGCCTGGTAACCACGCCCTCTTCAACTACAGACTGTCCAGGGCAAGGAGAGTTGTAGAGAACGCCTTTGGAATCCTCAGTGCAAGATTCAGGATCCTACGTCGAACTGCCATTGTCAGTGAGACACTAGCCTGTAACATTATTTTGTCTACTTGTGCCCTCCACAACCTTCACCTCATGAGGGAAGACAGCATTCCACCCAAGCAACGTGTCTACCTTACACCTGGTTTCTCAGACACCTACAAGTCTAATGGAAGAATGAAGCAAGGCAGATGAAGGAAACTGGTACCCCCTTTGGAAAAGATAATTTTCTGTAATCTTGTGCAACAAGAAATCCCTGGTGCTGCCAGGAATTCCAACCCACTCTATCCCACTCTCGTGAAGGAGGATTTTGTGGAGCTTGTCCTTGCCCAGCCAGTCCCTTGGCATTGGGGTGAACCATTGTCACCTATTTTTCTATGCTCCATGTTTCTGTAATTTTAACAATGTGATTTTTGTAGTAGTGAGTAGACAGAAGAAAGACTGAAGCAGCATGGCTGTGTGCATAGTTGACCATAACTTGATAATGTATTTGATGTACGTTGTTTGTATGTGATTTGCTATGAAATGTCTGGCCACAATAGTGAGATTTTAAATGTGGCATTAGGGTGAACCATTGTAATTCATCCTACTATCCCCCATGTTTCTGTAACTTTAACAATGTGATGTTTGTAACTGTGAGTAGAGAAACGAATGACTGAGGCAGCATGACTGTGTGCATAGTTAACCATTACTTGATAATTTTTTGTATGTGTTTTGCAATTGTATGTCTGGTCACCCGTTTAGAAACTAGGTAGATGTACGCCAGACCACGTCTCGCGTAACAGGCTTCGCGATATCTCACGAAACACTGTTACGCTGCGACGCGCCTGGCATACATCTACCTAGGCCTGCGGCGCTGACACCCGAGTCGGGTAGTGCAAAAGTGTACAAAAAGATACGGGCCGCCGGCCCGTCAACGGCCCGTCACTTTGACTAAGCATGCAGGGTTGTACATTTTTTCGCTTATTTTCGTCAAAAATACCCTCTAGCGCCTCAACGGTTTGAGCTAGAGCACAACGGAGAAAATTTTCGCCCGAAGGGTTCTACTTTGATGAGTTACCACGTAGGAGACTGTAAAAAAATATTTTTAAAAAACATTATTTGGGGGACCTGTGGTTTTTGATTTTTTTAAAATCCAATTTTTGAGCTAGAATGCTCTTCTTCGAACTCGATCTGTCTTTTTATGATTCAAAACGACCCTGAAAATCCCAGGTCGCTAGCTCAATTCGTTCTCGAGTTATCGTGATGACAGACAGACAGACAGACAGACGCGAAACTTTTTGATCATCACTGGAGTAAAAGGCTTCGCTAATCGCTCAGCCAATGAGAAGTTCCGGAATATGTCCCTCATCGGACTCCGTCCGAAATCCGTCTTTCGGACAAGCCCGAAAAGACGTAAAATAAGCCACTTTTCGGAACATGTCCGATGCTCTGTTCTGGTGCGACATCGGACTCGTTTCGGACTCGCACTGAAGGGAGGCCCAAGAAAAAGCAGAGAAGACGAGTATTCGAATCCCTGCTCTTCGGACTTGTCCTTTCCATACCGACGCTCTAACCAACTGAGCCACGCTCACTTCTTGGAGACAATGCCATCGGGCCGCCTCTTCAACTACTCGCTCTGTAGACAAAGCGTCGTGCTCTGTAGTGGGCGAACGAAACGACGTACACGAATGCGGTTTTCGACAATAATGTAGGCAAGGGACGCTCTACGATGTCAACTTGAGTGCGATACAATACAATAAAACAAAATTTATCTAACAACAAAAGTAATGAAGTGAACTTTAAACTACATATGCAAGAATTAACATTAGATTTTTGATTATAAATGAAGAGTGCGAGCTGATACAGAAATATAAATGCAGACACCGATACTAAATTCAGTCTTCAATCGCAATAAGTTATTGACCAAATTTAACTTTGAAAGGGGACTTAAACAAAATTTGGCTTTGAAGTTCGCCTTGGGGATAGTCGAATAAGAGGAGCTCTGCCCAACTGGGTCCGTTAGTGGACACAATTCGGACTCGTCCGTACCTCATGACCGTACCAGGACTGTTATCGGGCTTAGTCCGATGCGCATCGGACTAAAATCGGGCGAGGCAGGGATTCTGGAACACCGTCCGGACAAGCCCGATGTTAGTCGGTCCGATGGAGGGCTAAAACCGGGCTAGCCCGAACGGTGCGCGGACTAACAGCGGAACAGTCCGAAGCTTGACGGACTGTTTCGGAACCAAAAGGGAACAAGATACGGAACTTTTCATTTTTAAACGGGCAGAATAGTGAGATTGAAACTGTGATAGGAATAAAATGCTTCGAATGCAGCAATTTAAAATCTCTATCTGACTTCTTCAAACATTTTCTTATTTTCAACAACAGTTGTATACAGAACATACATAAAATGAACCTCAACTCTGCAAATCTTTTAAACTGCAAAACTAAAAGTTCTACAGTTTCAACTGCAAAGCTAAAAGTCTTACAGTTTAAGCTGCGAAACTGAAAAGTTCTACATTTTCAACTGCAAAACTGAGTAGTTCAACAGTTTGAACTGTCTAACTAGCCCTATGCAGTTGTGCAGTTTTAACTGTTGAACTTCACAGTTTTGCAGTTAAAACCGTAGAACTTGTTAGTTTCGCAGTTTAAACTGTAAGACTTTTAGTTTTGCAGTTTAAACTGTGAAACTTTTAATTTTGCAGTTTAAACTGTCAGGTTGTTATTGGCTGAGCGATTAGCGAAGCCTATTACTCCAGTGATGATCAAAAAGTTTCGCGTCTGTCTGTCTGTCTGTTTGTCTGTCGTCACGATAACTCGAGAACGAATTGAGCTAGCGACCTAGGATTTTCAGGGTCGTTTTGTGTCATAAAAAGACAGACCGAGTTCGAAGATGAGCATTCTAGCTCAAAAATTGGATTTAAAACAAGCAGGCCCGCCCTTCCGCCAAACGAAGTAGCCAGCTCCGCTTCGCTCCGCCGGCAACTCCGTTCGGCAGGGGCCGGGCCTGCTTGGCCTGCCGGCGGCGATGGTCGGGCCTGCGGCCCGACCATTTTTGTCACGCGATTTGCTAAAGAACATGATCGAATGATGTAGCGGGCCTTCGGCTCGCTTAAACCCGTCATCTTTGAGTTTGCCCCAAAGACTCGAGAAAAGGATGTAACGGTGAAGCACCGCGACTACAACCCACCCTTCTGCTTAGAAAACGTTTTTTGTGGGTGGGGAAAAGTTTCCTTTCTATTTTGCGGTTTCTAGGCCCTTTTCTACATCTTATTGTTCACTATGGCAATTTTTAACTTACTTTCGTCTAAAAAGACCCTTCAGCGCGTAAACGGTTAGAGCTAGCGCAAAACGGACGAAATTTTCGACCGAAGGTGTTTATTTTCACAAGTTACCCCTTGGGAGGTCATAAAAAAATGTTTTTTCCAACTTTTTTGACCTTTTCTGTTTTCTTCGATACCCCCTTTCAGCCCCTTAGGGGTGGTTGACAGGAATTGCCGTAGGCGTTTTGTTTTGTGGGAGTGAACCTTGAGATCCCCTGAAAATTTGAAGTCTCTAGCACATCTCCTTCTTGTGGAACAGACAGGCAGACACACAGACACACAGACACTAGATCGTTTGCATACGCCCGCTGGATAGCTTCTCCAAAGCTGAAGGGCGGGCTAAAAAATCAAAAACAGGTCCTAAAAATGACGTTTTTAAAAATATTTTTTCACAGTTTCCTAAGGGGCTTCCCGACTCGGGTGTCAGCGCCGCAGGACTAGGTAGATGTATGCCAGGCGCGTCGCAGCGTAACAGTGTTTCGTGAGATATCGCGAAGCCTGTTACGCGAGACGTGGTCTGGCGTACATCTACCTAGTACAGTTCGATTTGCAGAGAAGGCATAACTTTGGAAACATTCTATAAAGTTTTTAAATAAATAAAGAAATGCAACATCAATATAAAGGATGTTCTCAAAAACAATTACAATTATGTAAGGTCTTCTTGAGACGGGGGACATCTCACAAGGGAACCCCGCCGCGCCAAGTGTAAATTCCCGATTTTTATTCTACTTTGGGATATTGTTGGTCTAAATGTCATCGAAGGACACATCAAAGATTTTTGCTTAAATTCATATTTAGGGGTCATTTTGGGTATTTGTTCAAAAAGCTGCTATTTCAATTATTTTTTATAACTTTCAAGAATGCTTCCTCAGGTGTAACTCGTCTAATTGCGGGTCTTTGGAAGAAAATTTCGTCCGTTTTGCTCTATCTGAAGCCGTTTAGGCGCTACCACCACGTTTAGGAGGGGAAATGTACGGGAATCACTAGAGCCTCAGAGCAGCGGTTGTAAAAAGCAGTCCCACGAAAAATGTCATAAGACTAAAGTTGTAGAAAAACGTAAGCTCTTTAACTTTTGTTTTATAACATTTTTTGTGGGACTTCTGGGTTTTCATGCAATAAATAGTGAGGGCCACGTCGGCATTATTATCTGTAGCTGGCACGTGACGTCGTGCGCACGTTTAGGCCCCTGGACACGCCCGGTGTGTGGAGCTCGGATCCTTTACATCTGGTAGAAAGTAGGACCCATAGAGTAACACTTTCAGCCGGAGTCTTTCGCCCTGGTCCCACCGTGCGCGCAGTGCAGCGCCTACAAGGTGGTCTACCTGTTTGGCGCAATGGTTGGGCCAAAACGAAAATCGCAATCCCTTATGAAACGAAATTATACCGAAACTTGTCCTGGGCAGTTCCAAAGTCTGTCCGATTGCATTCGGACAGGCCCGGATGTATTCCAGGGCAGTCCGATACGAGTCCGAGTCCGACCGAGGACTGCCCGATTTAAGCCCGAGGTAGCTAGGGCAGCCCGAAAGGAGTCCGGTCGCAATCGGACTGCCCGGAGACAGTCCGAAATAAGTCCGGTAGAAACCGGACAGCCCGAAGGAAGTCCGAGTAAGCCGACTATCATCTTCTGTCGACACGGCATGGTCTCGGGCTGGCCGAGCACGTTCTAGACATTTACATTTCTTACACAAAATATTGAAACTAAGCAGCTATATTAGTCAAAAATGAAATGCATATGTTAAACTTTCACACATTAAGTCTTGAGCAACGAGTATCTCCTCAGTACTAAAAGCGCCTCTCGAACTATATAGAACAGAGGTACATTTTATTTGCATGTTAGTACACCATATTGATGCTGGATCATATATTAACTTAATTCCGATATTTTAA